CTCTACATTTTTCCCATCAATATCAACCCTTCTCAGGGCTGCATCCCCCCCATCAGCTCCCCAGGATGACCAGGGACCCAGCTAGAGGAGTCTCCATGTCCTTACTGTCTCTGTATGGCTGTAGTCCCTCAGAGAAGGCCCATTCAGACAGCTGGTCTCCGTCTACCGTTCTCACTCTTGCCCAGTAGATATCATGGATATCTTCAAAATACAGCTTGCAATATGAGCTGGTGCTGTTCTCCCAACAGGCATCCACCTTGGTCCATCTAGAAGAAGATCTCCCTGAAGACCTCCAAGGGGGAAAAAAAATTGCAATGAGAAGGTGTCAAAAAAGGGAAAAATTACTGCCTACCCATTGCAAATATGATGAAGCAGAGCAGGCCAGAGAACATGGATCATGCAGCTCAAGACACTGCTGGCAAATAAGAGCATTGCTCTCAGGTTGAGAAAGGTGATTATTCAGCACTGATGTGATCACATTTGTGTMCAGTCTGGACTCCTCAGGACAAGAGAGACACAGACCTATCAGAGTCCAGCAAAGGGCCACAAAGATGATTAAAGGATTGGAATGTATCTCATATGAGCAGGGACTCAGAGAGTTAGGACTCTTTAGCCTGGAGAGATGAAACACAGGAAATTTCATTTGAACATAAGAAAAATAAAATATATATATATATATATATATATTTTAAATCTGTGAAGGCAATCAAATAAAGGAATAGGTTGCCTAGGTAGATTATGGAGTGTCTATCTTAGGGGATACTCAAAACCTGGCTGGACAGAGTCCTGAGCAACCTGCTTGAGTTAGATTCTATCCAGAGGTTCCTTCTAACCTCAACCTGTTATTCTATGAAATTTACTTTAGACAAACAGTTCTCTGGCCCACAGAGACCCCACAGAGGGTCCCTAACTTCTTCCTGTCACTGCTCTCTGCTAGGATGCTCCAGCCTTGGAGAGTAACCAGAGTGAGCACACYCAGGCAGTGAGAAAGGCCTAGGAAGGTGGGCAAACCAGGGCTTGGAGGCAGAGGGACAAAAATGTCCCTTTCCCCTTTCTCCGCAATTTCATACGTACCTGCTCCTGCRCTCCACCTGGTACCTGGCACTACTGGGCGAACGAGGGTCCGGCTCCCACTTCACGCAAGTGTGGAAGTTCTTGGCCACTAGTGTCACGTTCCGGGGAGGAAAAGGCATGCCTGGGGAGCAGGGGAAAGGGACATGAGGGCAAAGAAAGGCAACGTTACTCTGCTCCAGGAGGGCCCACAGGGARATACCTCTGCCACGTAAGCAGGACCTGTTGGCATCCAAGCAGGTGCTGTTGGCTGGTCCCTTCCTCCTTTGCCAGCACCCACAATCCCACATTAACCCAGATCATGGCGATGTTGTGCAGATGTCACAGCTTTGTACACCCCATGTACACCCAACCACCCTGCAACTTCAGTCCTGCCCAGATGAATACCAGCTCCCTGGTGGTCTCAGCAAGGGCTGGCTCTTGGTATCTATGTTTTGGGAGGCTCTCACGCGATTCAACACACTTTGGAGTATTCCATATGCCGAAAGGCACTGACAGCTCCTCCAAGGACATCAACCAGGGGGCTGGGAAGAAGCTTACGCCCCACACCTCTTTCAGCCACTCGAGGAAGATAATCTTTCCTTGGAGGCTCCAAGTCCTCAGAAAAGTCCAGCTGATTTTCTCCAATTCTGCTCCCCACCTCCTTTTGCAGTTCTGAGAGCTGTCTCCATGCTTTCTTCCCCGCAGTAGAAGAAAGCTCCACTCCTTGCAAGSCAAGACCACAGTGAGGCAGTTAGGATTCGCCCCCTTCCTCTGGCCCAACTAAAACTATTCCAGAGCTGGACTTACCGCAGAACAGGGTGCAGCTGGTGAGAGACAGAAGCAAGCTCAGCRCAGCTCTCATGTTCCCACCAGGCCCGGTCCATTTGCCCACAGCTCTAGGCCGGCGTGCCCATGGTGTGAGGTGAGGGTTGTCTTAGCTGCATCGCCTCCTGGAAGCACAACAGATGAGCAGAAGCTGAGATTAGAGAGAAATTATTTTCCCAAAGCCACGTCTGCAAGAGGTGATGCTGTGCCCTTTCCACAGCGGTGGAGGCACCGCCGTGCCCCAGGTGTGACTCGTGCGTGTATTTCTCTGTCAGAGGAAGCCCAGGGCTGAAGGTTCACACCAGCCTGGAGGTGACTCACCCGCCCAGGGCTGACTCACTGCCGAGGCAGTGAGGCAGTGGCCGTGTGGGGAGGGAGGCCTCGGGCTGAAGAGCCCCAGCACTGRGGTCCTGTGTCACGGCCTGGCACTGCGCGAGCCTGGAGGCGACGTTAGGGCGACACTACAGCACGTCTTTTTTCCTCCTCCGTTGGGTATCGGTATAAAACAATATGTATTAAACATCAGTTCCTGTCTCCAAAACCAGGGCAGTACCTCCTTATCTTCACACCGCTTCAGCCCAGCTCCTTTCCAATTTTCACCCCTCTTTTCCCAGCCGACAGAGGCATTTCCAGGTGGTGCAGAGGTATCTTGCTCTCTTGGAAGAGCCGGCAAGGGCTTCTCTTGTGGTTGCCAATCTGGACTTCCTTGGTCRTGGAAATGACTCCAGCAACTGAGGGGGAGTTTCCGGAGGCAGAAGGGTGGGAGCATTTCCCATGCCAGATGGGACATCCATTGGGCTTATTCTCAGTGTCCCCCGCTCTCCTCATCTTGCAGTGACTCCACATCAGCAACATTTGCAAATCAGCGTTGTTGTGCTCGGAGCTGAAGCCCGGGAGAAGCAGCGGGTGATGCAGGACGGGCGTTGACCCCGCGCCCGCCAAGGGGCTGCCCCAAAGGCAGCAGGAGGTGGCCTAGGCGTGGGCACCAAGGGCCACACGYGCCACCGCCACCCCTGCTGCCGACGGCACCTCGTCCTCCGGGGCGGAGGAGGAAGCGGCCGGGGCTGCGGCCCGCGGGGCCTGATCCGCGGGCTGGAGCGCAGCGATTAACCCCCTCTCCTGCCCACACCCCTTCTTTGACCAGCTTCCCCCACATCACCCCGCTRCGAAAGGCCTCAGGGCTCCCTCCTCCTCTCAGCCCGCAGCTACTCGCCTTGGCTGCGCGTTACGGCGAGCACCGTGCTGCAGTCTGAACCCACCATAGTCTATTACCCACAGACAGGAGGCCCTTCAGCTCCGAAATCCAGGGCCAGCTTCCAGAGGCTCTGAGAGCATTCAGCAGAGGTGTCATCAGCTACGAGCCCAGCTCCGAGCTCCCTCACGGCACCTGCCACTGGTTGTGCTGGGACAGGACATGGGGCTGGACAGACCCAGACCAGCCCAAGCAGAGCCAGTTTTGAGTGAACAAGACCACCTCGCTGAAAGTTTCACATCCAGSTTCTTTGCCCACCATCCTGGGCTTCCCAAGGCCAGCCCATTGCACGGGCTGCTCCCCTCCACCACGATGCAGCAGGGATGTCTATACCTGCAGCACAGCCCTCTCCTGCAGCCTGCCCTTCTCCTTCCTTACCTGCCAAGGGGTCGGTGCCGTCTTGCCACCGGCTGCGCAGCCACACTGTTCAGAGGGCCGCAAGGGACGGCCCACTCACCTGCTCACAGCACAACACGTGATTTTACTGTGGTGGTTCATACTCTTTTTCCTGGGTCTACTTTTTTTTTTTTTTTTTTTTTTTTTTTTGCTTCCTTGTTGACTGTCATCTGGTTACAGACTTCCACCGAGCGCAGTGCTTGCTTAGAGGGCTCAGCAGTGCCCTCTGCAAGCAGTGAAAGATACAGCATCACTTGAGCACGAGTTGGCTGCTTCCAGTTTTACTATGGAGGGGGACTCCCTTGGCCAGAGAGCCGCAGTCCTGAGAACAGAAAACAACAGCRCAGCCAAACATCAGGGCATCTGTCAGGGCTACCCTGTGCCAGCCCATACGTGGCAGCACARATGTGAACCAGGATGCCTTCAGAAAGCCACTGTCCTCCTGAGAACAGGTTTTATCTTCTTGAACATCAGTATTCCAAGCTGGATGCACAGACCTGCTGAGGTCTTCTGGACGGGCCTCACAAAGCRACCACAGCCCTCTGGTCTGCACCTCCGGCCAGAGGCAGCCTTGCACAGCCACAGCACTTGCAGTGTCAAACCTGCTCAGCTGCGCTGCTGCTTTGCCCTAGGAACGCCTGCTTCAGAACCAGAAGACACCCGTGCGTGGCTCAGCAAAGCCTTGGGAGGCCAAGCCTTGCTGAAAACACAGGCAGCAGTGCAGCAGCCCAACAAGCAGAGCAGAAGTATTAAGCTTTATCAATTTAACTTATTTATTAAAATTAATATTTTTATTAATATTTTTTATTTAACTTAAAAMTTAATTTTAAATTAAGTTTTCTAAAAACATAACGCTGTGCAGTGGGCCGCACACAGCAGGCTGAGAAGCAACAGCACCCTAACCTGGGTTCCTTCAGCAGTCCATACTTCACACGGAGCCGTCAGGAAAAGCCTCGACGTGCTCCACAGCAGGAGCGCAGACAGGCAGYAGTGCCAGCAGGATCCCCATCACGTGCAGCATGCAGGACAGCGCGGCTGCAGCACAGCTCTTCAACAACAAGGACACAGAGATGGCAACGGACTGGACGGATAGACTCTTTAATACCATCTTCACTATGTAYACCTTGCACACATTCCTGTCCCCCGGGATGGCCAGCAGATCACATTTCCATGTATGTCCATTTACGGGGGGGAGAGAGAGGCCAGACAGCAGAAGTCAGGAGCTGCCGACATCTYGGGAGGTTGGGTGCAGGAGCAGGGGAAGCCCATCAAGCTGGGTGACCCCAAACGTCCATCCTGCTGCAGAGCAAGGGGATGAAAAACTAGGCAGGAGAGGCTTCAGCCATCTCAGCACACACATCTGCCAGTGCTGTCAAAGGCTTTCAAGTCCACCTCTCTGCCCAAMAAGTTCTTATTCCCTTGCTTACAAGACCTTCCTCCCAGAAAAGCTCTTCCTCTCTAGCCCATTACCTCCCCTCAAGGTAGAGCACAAAGAACAGAACCAAGCATGCTGTTAAGCCCATAAAAGAGCTGCAGCAAGCAAGAGAGAGATCATAAAGCTGCCAACAGCTCTTCTTTCAGCATCAGCAGCCCTTCTCCTCCACAGGTATGGGAGAAAAACCCATTTACATTCTTTAAGTGCAGTGGGACTGCAGGGGCCAGCAAACCTTGGGTGCAGCAAGGCCCCTGGCAGGCAACCTCAGCCACACGAGTAGGGAGACCCAGAGGAGCAAGGCTGAAYGTGCACAGGAGTGTCTCAGCACACTGCTGGGAGGTTGTCCCCACGCAGGCCAGCAGGACCCAGGCCCCTGCCAGACCCTCTCTGGGGCCTTCACCCAGCAGCAAGCGTTACAGAGAAGTGGTCTCCATGCCTAGAGAAACATCAGTGCTTGCCCCAGACGGGACATGGGCTGTCTGCTCAGAGCACAGGGCATCAGGGGCTCCTGAGGGACCACAGGGAGGACGGGTCTCTCCCCTCACAGATGGTGCTGCGGGGAGAAGCCAGCTCCAGTGGGAACAGTGGGATTTCCCCACCTCCCTGCACGGCTCACAGGGTGCATGGACACGGTGCTGGCCAGCTTCTCCCTGGGCGAGGGAGCAGATAGTCCTGGGACAGTATCGGCTTCCAGCACCTGTAACCAGCCTCTGTGAACACAACTGTCTCTCTCTTCCTCCTCGGTGTCCTGGGAAYGCGTGCTAGGCTTTCCCAGGCAATACCCATCCTCCAAAGGCCTTCTCCAGGTATCGGGCTACTGCCAGCGTCAGATGGTCATTGTAGGCCCCTGCAACCAGCTGGATGCCCAGCGGCAGCCCCTCGCTGCTCAGGCCTAGCGGGCACTGTGTCACCGGCAAGCCCAARACGTTGAAGATAGCTGCAAGAGAGAAGGTTGCATCAGAGCAGACACTGGGCACCGCAAYCCACACACCCAGGGTAGGTCACTCCCTGATACCTCAGGGCAAGTTCTCCCATTGATAGGTAACTCCTGTCTCAGGCAGCTCCAGGCTCCTGGGAGCAGGTCCTCTCCGTGGCAGGAGTCAAATAACACAACTGCCGAGCAGCACAGAGACATCACAGGAAGCTGCTGGCCATACCTATGTAACCCCAAATCCAGGCAGCACTGCACTGTTGCTGTGGCATCACAGAGCTCGAGGGCCAGGAAAGTCACAGAAAGAGCCCCAGACTGTCAATCCCAGTTCCTCGGGGCAGGTGGCAGCCCTTGGATGCCTGCTAGAATGCTGTGCCAGCTCCAGTGGCTTAACACRTGCCTTCAGGACAGCGTGTACCACGGAAGCCAGGCCAGGTTTCTCTATAAGGGCAGCCCCGTCAGAGCTAAGCCACATCAATCCAACCTGCAGACAGCAGGTCCAAAGCCACACAGTTTTAAAGCATGACAATGGTTCCTGTCTGACTTCCGAAGCAGCAAACACCTAGTTTCCTACGGGAAGTCCACTTTTGAGGACTCTCAGCAGGTCTCCCCACCTACAGCTTTATGGGCACCGTGGCTCCAGAGAGCTCCCCCTACAACCTGAGGAAGCCACGAAATGACCGAGAGTCACCCAAGCGCCTGGCTGCAGCTGGCCCAAGTGCTGGGCACTGCACACCCCTACGCAGACTGTCACACAGYGCACGCTGCCCAGGATGCTCTCCTGGGACGGGTAAGGTTACGTGTGGGACCCCTGCCTCGGGGGCCAGGGCAGCTCACCTGTGTAGGCAAAGTTGAAGGGCATGCACAGCGGAGAGTGATGCTTGGGAGCCACGGTGGGATGAGAGGGGTACAGGAGCACCCCATCTGGCCCCAGTAAGGTCTCCATCTCGGCCTGCAGGCTCTTCCCCATGCTCACCAGCTTGGCGTTCCCACCAGAGTTCAGTTTCACCAGCTTCTCTGTCAACCCTAGCGCTACAGGGCAAGACACAAACAGGAATGCAGCATTAGAGCAGAATGAACAACAGATTCATGTGTTGCACCAGGCTAGGGAGCACCTTAGGTGTAGACAGCATCCTCCACCTCTTAAAAGAGTGAAGGAGGCCAGGGAGTGACCCAGAAAGCCCTTCTCTCTCCAGGCCTGCCCGTTCCCAGAGCACATCTCCCCCTGCATACAGTATGACAAGTCTTCCCATACCTCTSTCCTCGAGTAAAAGCTTTCAGACCACCCCACTGGGGCTTAGTTCTGCCRCTTTATGGAGTTTCTCCAGTCTCATTTCACCTGGACCGTGCAGCAATGCCAGAGGTGCTGTACTCCCACCTCTCAACACACATGTCCAAGCAGAGGTGGCAGAGTAAACCTGGCACTTATTAGATAAAAGCCTCAATCCCATCAGTTCTGGCTGTGCTCATAGCAAGGGGCAAATCCAGAGTGCAGCTCTGCTATCCTCACTTCTCCTTCTTGGGAGATGTCCCATTCCTGCTTACTGAAGATCTGACCAACTCCCCCGCTCCCCAGAGCGTGCCCTTTCCTAGGGCTTAAAGACACTGTGTCACTACTTAAAAATATTGGGAGGCTGCACAGTATGTACTGTGGAGCCCTTCAGGTGACAATAGGGGGGCCCTTTTTTGTTTTGTTTCATTTTCTCTGAAAAAAAAAAAAGGGAGATTAGAGCATTAATTCTGCAATTCACCCAGCCCTACCACCACCATGGCACRCCACTTAGCTCCTTGCAGGCTCACCAATGGCTGGGAACGTATGGGAAGACATGCCCACGAGCCACTTTATCAGCTCCCACAGCGGCCACACTGGCTTCCCGTGGTCCCCAAGCAGGTCCGTGAAGAGCTGTGCCTCCTGCAATCACACACGTGCCCTCACTCAGCAAGAGCTCGATGTGGTTAGCACTCAATGCTGAAGTGTGGACTGAAACTACAGCCAACTCTGTGGCTCTTCAAATACCCTGATATGTCCTGATGAGAGAGTAAATGTCCCCACAGAGTTGCAGGTACCTCTCAAAGCTTCTTCTCCAAGAGAGTGCTATGAAAAACACCCTGGATGCTTCCTGAGGGTATCTGCTATTGTTACATGACTCCAAAAAATCAGGTAAAAGGAGATAGAAGGGACTASACATACAGGAGTGATACAGCTCCTTAAAAAGTGGGGTTGTTTTGTTTATCACTGCTATCAGTAAGGTAAAAGGACGCTAGGTGTACACCCAGTTCATTTTGGCTACAAAATATTTCCATATGTGCACAGAACATGGCATGGGAACTAAAAATTGAGGGGAATCAAGCCGGAACACATCTACTAACCTCGCAAAATCATAGCACAATAAAAATAATAATAATAAAAAGTGCTTTCTGCTCCATACAGCAGGCCTGCTGGTAAAGTGTTCTTAATCCACTGTTTCAGTCTTGGTCTCCTAATCCATATTAATCCTATTAATCCAAACCTGTAACATGGTCTTGGCCTGAGACACACAGCACACAGGTTAAGAGCCTGCTTGGCTGATTTGATATCAACTTGCCTCTTTGCTAGAATAGAGTCTGTGCCCTGGCCTGGCTCTTTCACATACCTGCCCGTCACTGTCCTTGGAAGACATCATGGCTGACCAGATCTGGAAAGAATACTTCATTTTGTGGATGGCCACTCGCTGAACTTGGATCCCCAGCTCACTTTCCAGGTGCTCCACCACCTAATGAAAGCAGTGGGAAGGGTTTAATTCTAAAGGACATGACATTTTGCAACAGGTACATGCAAACCAGAGATAGGCCCGCAGGCCAGATCTGCAAACTAGGCTTCCTTTGCCCATCCTGCCAGCTCTCCTCACATTTATCAAATGGAAGAGGTTCCCGATGCCAACAACGAGCGTGTTCTTCAGCTCCTCCAGAACTTCACCACGTCAGCCCCAGCTAAATGTAATGTGGATGCTTGTGAAGAGCACAGAAGGTTTCATAAGCCTCTTAGCAGTGTCACTCACGTGCCAGCACAGCAAAGCACTCCAGTGTGCAGCCACTGTGCTACCAAATGCAATACTTGCAGTCGGGGCTCAGATCCAGTCCTGGATCTTTTCCTTTGCATGACTAAAACCCAGACAGGAGTCTCGGGTGGACTAACACACAGCATTCCCTTCACCACACAGTGCATCCTTGGGAGGTCACCATAATGTAAAGCAGAGAAGTTAAGAAGGCAAAAATGCATCTACTGCAAGAAAAAAAGTGGGCCAAAACCTTTGGAGGCTCCTCTGGGACATGGACAACATGTGACTACTGCCAAGGCAAGGGCATCTGCAACTGCTCACAAAACTTTAACCTCATTTCTTCAGTTACACAGAAAAAACAGAAAAGACCTTTCCACATTTTTTCCATCTCTAGAACACAAACGGGACTCAAGGCYGCCTGACAGTGACAGAGCCAGTAGCTCTCCAGCCCAATGGCATGTACAGGAGCCAGCCACAGAGCACATCACTTTGTCCCCAAATGACTCCTCAATGTGCTCTCCCCCAGCTTTTATTTCCAGGCCCATCCCAGTGATAGCCAGCTGCCTAAATAACCCATTCCAGTTCCTTCCTACCTTCTTTTGCATCTGCAAGATCTCCTTGTCCACGGGCGACACAAAAATGGACCCACCATCATGATCCATGCAGTGAAACTTTATTTTCTCYAGCGACACCTTTTCATCCAGCTTGAGCCTGCAAAAGGAGCACCACCACTCAGCAAGTTGTGTCCTGCTCCTGCCTGGCTGCCAGAGCTGCTCACACACGTGATAACATGAGAGATGTGTCCTCAGGACAACCACAGCAGAAAGGTGAGTCTCTGAAGACACAGGGACATCTCAGTGCAGTCCATCCAGTGCAGCCCACCCACCTACTCAGCCGAACAGCTTTAGGCCCCACTAGTTTTGCTGTCAGAACTGATAGAAAAAGGCAGATCTCTCAGTACACACGGGCAATTACAGACAYTGGCCACAGCCAGGGTTAGTGCCATGCCCCCGGAGCCACGGGGAAGGGACAGGAGCAACAGGGAAAGCAGCCACGTGCAGTGCAAGGAGCCGGCAGGGAGGTCACGGTGAGGAGCACGACGTGCCCGGCCTGTGCCCGTCCCCGCTTCGCTCCTTACCGACACGCGCACCAGCCGCGCTGCGGCACAGGGTGGGCCCTGCGGCACCCGCACGTTATCCTGCTCCTCTGCATCTCCTCTGAGCGAGCCCACGCGTGCCACGGCGACAGCTCTGCCAGGCTCGGCCGGGGCTGTCTGCGACAGGGAGCAACGACTCGCAGACAGGGAGAGTGACCCTCGTGTCCTTCGGCTAGCAATGAGAGACCCTTGTGTCCTTTGGCTTGCCCAGCCTCGACGGGGGCAAAGGAAAGGGCCTGTTAACCAGCGTGGGGCCAGGGACAAGGGAGAGGGGGGTCAAAATGGGCATTTTACTGCCCTCTCAGCAAAAGGAGCTTCTCAGGTGCATGACACTACCAAGAGACCAAAATACCACATGGTCATGGTGGAAGATGAAAAACTAACTTTTCAGCAACAGGAAAGAGCAAGTATAAAAGGCAAAAGAAAGGCCAGTCCTAAGAGGGAAGGGACATTTGACACCCAATGCAAGGACAAGCCAGGCTGTACTCCTGCCCTCGAGCCTCACTTGCAGGCAGTCACAGCTGACCAAGACAGTCAGTGAAGGAAAGCTGCCTGCAARGCCCCACTGAGCCCTGAATCAGACACAATAAACCAGTAACAAGCAACTTGGGCTGCACAGATCTGACTTTTTTGACAAATTATCATGTCAAGAGGGGAAYGAATTAAAAGGACCTGCTGCAATGGCCAAAATACAGCTGAGAGCAAAGAAAACATAAGAGCAACCTACTTTGCGACGCCAGGCCCAGCCATGACCCTCAGCATAGGCTCCAAGTCCTCCGCGTACCGGCACATGGGCCCCGTGCACAGGAAGCTGGTCCGCATGCCCTGCGCGTTTGGGAACTGGCCGTCGTTGGGCACCACTCCTGCAAGCAGAGAGACACCCGGGTCAGCCACGAGCCCTCAAATGCCACCTCGAGYAGGGGTGAGCCCTGCAAGGAGGCTCCCGAGCTCGGGGCAACGTGCACCAAGCAAAGGAGAGGCGCCCGGTTGGCAGCGACGAGAGCCCTGCCTATTCCGCTGTGTCCCCAGAGGCTGATAACCGCCCCCAGACAGGCTTGTGGAAAGGTGTCTTATGTCAACCTGCCGCTGCCAAGMGAGATACTGACCTTGGGAAACGGCCCACACGGAGGCTGCAATACTGCACGCAACCCGCTTCCCGCCTCCCATGCCTTTGATGCTCAGCCATAAAGGAACTTCCCACTGCCGAGTTACAGCACTGCCTGCTCAGTTGCAGCACTCCCAGCACGTCAAAAACGACACGATGACAACTAAGGAGCGTCCCGAAGGCGTTCCTAGCACAGCCGTCCCCACACGTTTCACCTCAAGAAGCTCCTGGTGAGATGGGGAGACGCGCGGTCCCCTCTGCCCCTCGCACAGCATCCCCTGAACCCGCTCTACCTGTGGTGGGTTTGTGGCCAAAGACGCCGTTGAAGAAGGCGGGCATCCGGATGCTGCCCCCGATGTCGGAGCCCACACCGATCACCGAGCAGGCGGCTGCCAGGACACAGCCCTCCCCACCTGCACAGCAGAAAGCAGAGAAAATGCCCGCAGGCTTGTAGAACAGGGTGCCCAGGACAAGGAGCACTGGGGCTGCTTCATGTGCGGGTGGAACGGGAGCCACCTCAGCCCTAGAGAAGCCCGAGGGGCAGCTGGGCAACTCACACCAAAGTGATTTACCCTATATAAGCACCCCAGCAAGCGCTGCCATTCACATCCATAGGGAGCCAGGGCGACGCGGGCCCCCGCTAAAGCAGGGCTCTCACCTGAGCTGCCGCCCACGATCCTCTGCAGGTCGTAGGGGTTGTTGGTCCGCCCGTAGACCCTGTTGCTGGATTCGTACCACATGCAGAGCTCGCTGCAGTTGGTGACRCCCAGCGGGATGGCGCCCGCCTGCTTGAGCCGCGACACCACGGCGGCGTCGGACGCGGCGATCACGTTGCGGCGGCTCACCAGGCCCGACGTGTTGGGCATCCCTGCGGCGCCGGCGGGCAGAGAGGGAGGTTGGTGCCCAGGGATAATCCCCAGGGCCGTGGGCGAACACSCCGAGCGTGGGGGCGATAGGAAGGGGAGCGGCCGTGGGGTGCACGGGATGCGGAGGGGAGAAGGGAATCGTTGTGGGCTGTGCGGGGCAGGGCAGGGGTGGCAGCCACGGCAATGCACCTTGCAGCGCAAAGGCCTCCTTCACGGTGACGGGCACCCCCAGGAAGGGCAGCCTCTCCTCCAGCGCGGCGTCGGCATCGGCGGGGCCCTCGGCCAGCAGCTTGTCCACCTGCCGGGCCTCCTCGAGGGCCTCCTCGAACCTGCGGGCGGGAGGCGGCGCGGGGCAGCATCGCCGCCGCCGCCGGGCAGCATCGCCGCCGCCGCCCCGGCTCCCGCCCGCACCTACCTGTCGCGGACCAGGCCGTTGGTGAGCGGGTTGACCTCGCGGTTGCGCTCGATGTAGGCCTCCAGCACCTCCACGCAGCTCACCTGCGGGCCGGGGGCGAGGTGAGCGGGCGCGCGCGGCGGGGACAGGCCATGGCCGCGGCGGGGCCGCCCCCGGTGCCCACCTGGCGCTGGCGGATGCGGCTCGCGAGCTGCCGCGCG